AGTGTGTTGGTATGTCCTAGCATTAAATTCTTACAAGAATAAGAGACAGGGATAATATTTATTTTTCTAGTTTGAAAATAAAAACTACCTATATCTTACAGCATCACAAAACTCATTAAAATTACTTTTTTCCTGAGAATTTTAAAAATATTTCATGTGGTTTTCAAGTAATAATAATAATAATAAAAACAGCTCAGAATGCAGTGACACCTAATGGCAAAGATATCTTTATAAACCATAAATGTATTTTCTAATAAACATTATACTATAGTAATACTTTCTAAGTATTGCTACTTTACTCACCAATATGCTGTCTATAATCTAAAATAGACAAATAGACTGTCTATAATCTAAAACATCATGATGATCCAATAGAAATGTGAATATCTTACTTTTTAAAATAAAGTAATATACATAGGTGAAGAAAAAAAACTTCTAGATTAAAAAGTGTGGTTTTAAAATTGCAATGACCCTTTAAGATAAAATTTTCATATGATAAAATCAGCCTAAGATATCAGAATGGAATAAAGTGTAGCTTCCATTGCTCCTAACCATTTCAACTGACTTTTATTTTTGAATAAATCAAAAGTTAATCACCTTGATTTTTATTCATATTTGTCTTACAATTTATAACAGATATTTAGTGGATGTACATTTCACCTGGAGTAGAAAGCAAAGGCCCTTAGTGTAATGGCTTATTAGTCATGTCATAGTTGATATCTTTGATTAATAACAACATTGTCTAACTTAATACACACTTGAATTGTGCTTCAAATAACTGTATTAATGATACAGAGAAGAATAGTAAAGCCAAGTCCCTTAGTACTTTCTAGAAGTTTACACAGTTACCACAAACTTCAGGAACAAACGACTACTAAAAGTAGGAAAAGGATAAGATATCATTGAGACATCTTACACAATCCAAAAAATCCTTGAGGAGTCCCGGGGGTTATCATTAACCAATGCAAATCATGTAGCCAACTGAAAAAAAAAAAATTGGTAGAACAACAGCACATCTTCTGGGAAAGCTTTTACATTCTATAATTGACAAAATAATCCTTAGTGCAGAAGTAAGAATAACTGGTATTTTACATTTACAATCTATTATTGTTTTTAATGTGTTGACACCTTTTATTTACCCGATTTTGTACTTTAATTTGAACATTCTCATAATAAAAGTATTCCGTGGATTGTCTTGTGTTTCTCAAACATAATATCACTGTTGATTATGATTTCAGACTATAAAGTATCATCTGTTTATGAGAAAAACATGAATAAATGCATCTTTCCTACTCCATGTTGACATAAGGTATTTTACTATGACTGATAACAATAAAAATATGCTAGTGATTTGTGTAATATATGAATAAGTACACTGTTTGAGTGTTCCCTTGTAGAGATATATAACTGAGGATAGCTAATTTACAATCAGTTCTGTGAGCACAGGAACCAGACAAAGAAAGGAGCATATATTAAACTGTTAAAGCATGAGATCTTCCATAGTTGATATGAAGCAAAACACAAACTGTGCAGTTGACTGGAAATGCCACCTAATCCCTGCTTAATTAAAGCAGTGCTCTAAACTCCTGTTGTGTTTAGGGAGTAAAGAGTGTGGGACGACTGCTGTATGAAGAAAATAGCAGTCAGCGTGGCTAATCTCAAAGACTTTGGAGCTTTCTAGCTACATAAATCAGAGCGACTTCTGAATAGCTTCATAAAACAGAATATCATTGCCATTCTACTCACGACTTTTTGGTTCTTCCTACAGCATGCAGATCATTAGGAAACTTCTAAGCAATCAAGTAATGTGCGTCTGATGAAATTACTCAATCAATGCATAGGCTCAAAGTAGAAGCATAATTCAAAATTGCATAGTTTTTATATGTCAAAAGACCTTTCTTTTATTGGGGCAAAGAAGATCACAATGGAAGTGATTCATTTTTAAATACTATATGGTTGTGTATCTACGTGTGGATGTGTATTATAAAATATACGTAATTATTAATTATTTTAAAATATTATTTGATTGAAACTCAAAGTAATTATAAAATTGTGCATTTTTGACTGAAATAAATACATTTTCATTTCAATCACTATGGTTTAACCATTATATCTCATCACTGTAGTGAATCAATAAGTTTAACAAAACATATTAGAGTTTAAAATGTGTAATTGACCTTATTAAACTACTGGCATGAGGTAAAAACCGAAGAGAAAGAGAAAGAAGGAGATTATTTTCATGTATATACAATTTGGTTCAATACCAAAATAATTCAGTATATAAAAAGCCTCTTAGAGCAGTGTCTTTTTATCTTTCCAGTTTGCCTGAACTACATAGTGCAGCTACTTTCTGCGTGAACACATCACTTGAGGCTGGGAAAACCTTTCATTTCTGCATATCTCCTTCCATCGCTAGAGTGAAATACCCCTTCCCTCCAGTTTCATCACATTCATTCCTTCAGTCCTGAGCTAATACATTTCCCCGTAGACATATTTCTCACGTTAAATATTTAAATGAAGGCAATCACCTCCTAAAGAAAATTAATTCTTTTCCTATTCAACCAAGTAAGTAAACTAATCCAGTTCATGCTAACTGGTGCTTTACAATTTTAATATGGACGCTCGGTTTTGAATTTACTATACTTTTGCTGAGAGTAGGGGTGGAGGTATTGAATTACACACATACTACCCGTGATCATTTTTTTATTTTTTTATTTAGGAGTTAATGTTTTTCAATATATTATAAAAGATAAAGATTTTGAAACAATTTGCTAGCCCCATGACAATATTAGATAGTCTATACAACAGCTTAGTATCTCACCTAATGTACTAATTGTATTCAAGTCAAATTAATTGTCTCAGAGGTAACTATATCTGCTAGTAGGATATACACATTTAATGCATACAACCAACCTTCTAAATTTGTACACAGCTACTTTTTTTTAATGTGATTATAAATAAGTAAGCCAAATCACTCTGACAGACAACAGTATACAAAACGAAAAACACAACAGTTTTGTTCTATTTTGAAACAGATGTCCAGACTGCATTGAAAAATAGTATTTAACAGTAAGGGATAGCAAAAGCTGTAGGTATTTGTAAATAATGTATTTATCGTGCAGACCACAGAATAAGCGATTAAAAAAAGCATTTTTCCACAGGCTTTCCCTCCTGAGAGATGAGGAACCTACATCAGAAATCCCTAATCATACAATGAGTATAAAGGTATTATGATTATATATTTGCATTCCTGCTCCAATCATTTACTACTGGATATAAACGTATGCCATTTCTTTAAAAGGAGCATAGTTCATTTCTGAACTCTATCAGAATATTGCTGAACCACTCAATGAGATCATAATTTCTTGCTGAAAAGTTCTGAATCTGCAGGCACTGTTAGCCACCAGGCAAAACGGGATCCAGCAGGCAAGCTATTAGTGCTTGATTTACTTAATGCACAAATGCTAGGTTATCTGAATCCTGACCTCATTACCCCTTGCACAGACAGACAGTTCTACTGATATAAATGATAGAGAATGGCAGACATGTTTACAAAGACAGCGTCTGAGACCAAGAGAGGGAGCCCCCTGGAGCTGAGAGGCTGGCCACTGTGGGCGCGCACACCAGACAGAAATCCCTCGCTTGGGCGGGCACAATCGCCACCTGCGGCAGGTTCCCCTACCAGGAGTGTGTGTACGTGTGTGTATGTGTATGTGTGTTGCGCGGTGGAGAAGCAGGGGTACAGAAAGGGGAGAAGCTGTGACCCATCTGTCGCCTCAATTTGCAGAACACCAAGCCATGCGTACAGATAAAAGTCCTGTGCCCAGAAAAATTTCCCCAAAGGAACCTCTCTGCAGCCCAGCAAAGAAATCTTGCTGACTCGGGAAGCGAATTTCCGAAAAAGAACTCGTCGCATTAACGGAGAAAAGGCTGCAAGAGCCTGTCGCCGCTCAGCTCTCACGGATTAGCAAGTGAGAAGAGTTGGTGCCTGAAGCTGCGAGCGCTGTGCATGATAATGACGCGCAGCCCCCCGCCCGCCCCCGCTCGCCACGGCCAGTCCCGGCCAGTCTGGTTGCCAATAGGTGGGGCCACTAGCATCTCAGAGCCGGCTCGGCAGTCCTTCTCAGAGTCGGGGCCCGCATTAGTCCTGGCGCCTTCGCTGTCTGCCTTGCGCGGCTACTCGGAGTTGACTACTAGGCAAGGCGAGGCGAGGCGAGGGAAGGCGGATATCTACTAGGCAGACCCTGGGAGCGGCCTGCGCGCATTCGTTTCCCCGCTTTTCCCAAGCGCCCCGGGGCCAGTTTCGCCGCCGCGCCAGGCCCGGGGAGCGTGTCCGAGGAGGCGAGGCACGCGACTCCCAGTCCTTGGCGACACTGCCGCCAGCCCCTCCCGCCACCATCTCAAAGACTCCACGCGAGGATCATAAAGCCAAGAGGACGTCAGAAGAGAGGGTGGCTGGGGGCGCATCCGGCACCCCGTCACCATCGCACTAAGCTGCGGCGAACTCAGCCGGCTCACGTTGCAAAACCACCTGTTCGATCCGAAGGGAGCGCCCCCTACCCGCACCCCCTGCCCCCGGCCCAGTTCTCTTCATCTCACAGGTGACATCTCCTCTGCTCCCCCAAAGATAAATTTTTAAATGGAGCAAATGTACATCCGGGAAAAAATATGGAAGAGTCAATTAAACTCCCTTTCCCCACACACTTAGAATCCCCCTGCACTTCCCCGCACACACTCACACTCAGGTCAACTCGAGACCCCCACGCACCCAGCCACATTCCACGAATCACCGCGAAACAACAGCACAAGTCAGTCGAGGTTCGAGCATCCACATCCTTTCAGAAAACTGAGCAAGTGTGAGGGAAGGGTAGCGGGAAGGGGCAATGAACTGAAGCCACCTCAACAAGACACACAGAGGGCGGAGAGGGGGAAAGCAAAGGGGAAACATTTGAGAACTGAAACGGTGAAAGTAACCACGAGCTGCACCAACCCTTTCTTACCGATGTGAATGATCGAATCTGCATTCGCTGAGTCCCAGGTTCGAGACCACCAGATGGACAAAACCAAGAGCAAGGGGAAAACTTCCATCTCCTCTTATGCCGATTCTCTTGGAGGATGGATGTTCTTCCAATTTTTCTTTTCTTTTCTTTTCTTTTCCAAACAGTCCAAAGAGTTTGAGGTCACGGTGGAGTTTAGCGCAGCGTTTTCTTTTTTTTTTTTTCTAAATTCCTATTGCCAGAGCAAAGCCTTTTATCGTCGCCGAGAAAGGCAGAAGGGAATGACAGAAAGAGCCCAGCCTGAGGAAACCTCCTTCGCAAAGCCGTGTCACTTGGAGGGGAATTTTGGCATCGCCAGAGTTGTTTGCAGTTTGGCTTTTGAAAAATATATCCAGCCTCGACTGCTCTTGGGCAGCGGGAGAGGCTGGAGCTCAGATCAGACCCATCGCTGCGCGGGGGCCGCGGGTCTCAGGTCCCAGCTCCGCAGCAACTTCCAACACCCCCTTCACGCCGGATGTGCCCCCTTCCCTTCACCCTCCCGAACCAAAGAAGACCCCAGCCCCCGCCCCTACAGCCCGCAGAGAATCACTGGTCTTCGCTGCCAGAATCTAAGTGGAAAGGAAAGATTAGGAGATTCCAAGCGGAGCAGCCAGATTCCACCAGGGAGGGGGGAAAAAGCCCTCTCCAAGAGGGGTAGAAAAAGTGAACTTCAAGGTAATGCAGATAGTAATGCAGAGAAAATTCCCTTTCTGCGTGAGGCGCGGAACGCAGCTTGGCGAGGCGGGCCCGGGGAGCCGGTTTGCTGGGGCGCGGTGGCGGGGGAGTTGCGCCGGGCGCGAGCAGCGGGGCCGGGCCAGAGGAGGGAAGCCGCCGCGGGTTGCAGGATGCTTTTGGAGCGGTTCGCCTGGCGGGATGCAGGAAGCAAGGAGCGAGCCTGGCAGCTTCAGCACCAGCCAGCCCCACGTTGCCTAGAAATGGATCACCTAGGAGAAAGAGCGAGCCTGCGAGAGAGCGGTGCTGTCAGGCGGAGAGAGGGGGAAACCAAGAGAGGAAGAGCTTCTCTCTAATAACCACCTCCTCCCCCTATCTGCAATACAAGGGAGAAACAAAATAGTGCTCTCATTTCCCATGGAATCTTCAACCGGGACTGAGAAAAAGGCAGGACTGTAAGAGAAAAGACATTGAAGCTTTTTTTTTTTTTCTTGTTTCTTTCTTTTACGAGGTTAAATGCAACCTAAAAAAGCCACCCCACTTATTTAACCTTGCTAGTCTCTAACAGGTATCAGACTTTTTTCTAGTCTTTGCCTGGAATTAGTCACACTGGTTTAAAACAAATTAGGGACACCTGGTCACTTAGGGAAATAGAGACCTAGAAAGCTTTTAATGAGATTTCAATTATAAAGTTATAAAAAGGAGAGAACGTGCTAATTACCTTTTATACAATGATTTTTTTTTCTGTCTCCAGTGTATTTTTTAGGCAATCAGGATAGAGAAAGGTTCCTGAAATCCTTTCTATTGATAGAAATTCTTCTCTATCAGAATAGAAAAGATCTTGAAATTAAAAAAAAAAGAATAATTAAATAAAACAGAAAAAATGTTTCAGTTAAACAATTGGTCAAAATATTTCATTGAGTAGCTTAATAACCTATGTAGATAAATTCCGAATGAGGAAGTTGGGTGCTCTCTTCCATGGAAAAAGCTGAGGAAGTCCTGAATGACAGCCTCTCAGTCTCCAGTGAAAGGATTTTCTGCAAGCTTATTCCTTAAGATAAAATCCTGATCATTGTGAATTCTTTTCTTACAATGATTGACTTAAATCAATCTGGCCTTATTGCAAACTGGAGATTTGTTAACACAGTCGAGGTCAGGTATTAATGTCATAATATTGTTTCAATTATAATTGGAATTCTTTAGGAATGTTGGACGTGTGAATGTCAAACTCATTTCACAACCTTTCAAAGCCTTACCTCCAAGTTTGGCAAACCTCTTTTCTTCTTGTTCCCTGACTTGAACCCTTCTCTCTAGTCTTCTGAATTGGGTTACTATTTTTCCAGACACAGTTGTACATTCTGACTTCCGGCTGTTTTCATTCATCTTCTACACTTTTTCCTGAACACTCCAGAAAATGTTTTGCTGCCATATTTTTACTTATGTTAATATTTCTTCTTGGAAAGCACACTCTCAGTTTGTCCTCCCAGCCACTCTCCTTCACTATCTCAAGAGTTAGTTCAAATTATTTTTGCCCATGAAGTGGTGTCCAGTCCTTTAATGTGGAATAAATCCATCTATCTTCTATACTGTCATAACACACTCTATTTTGTACTAGAGTTAGACAGGACTACTACTAAATTAGATCATAAATGCCTTGACAGTGAAAACCAAAGCTTATTCACATTTTATTCAACACAGCATTTTACAGAGAACCCCTTTGTTGATTTGAATTTCATCACTTTCTTCTGAATCTGGAACAAACCAGTGCTTCCAAGAAGCATTTACTGATTACTCTCAATTTTGATCATTCACTTATCTTTTGTTTCCATTAGTAGGCATTGACTCAATATTGATTATATTAATGGTGTTAATGTCACTCTACTTTATAAGGGTTTTGATGCAGTTCCATAGATTATACTTTACTTATTCAGACAATGAATTGAAAGAAGGTATTCACTCCCCATAGCTTGCTTCAAATATTATTTACATTGACGTTCTAAAAATTGATGTCATTATGTAGTCTATCAAGAAAAATTACAATATAACCATTTAACATGGAAAGAACACCATGGTATCTTAGAATAAGATAACCAGGAAGAACTTCAGAGCATTAACTAGTCCAGTCCTGGCTTAATGAGTATCTGTCCTGAAGAAAGTCAAATATTGTATAGTCATATTCATAATGTTTCCCCTCTCGGAAATCTGTTTTAGTGTACTATGAGCAAAGCATTTTCATTATTTCCTAATCCTCCAGTTTAGTAGTTTTCAAATGTAGATTCACTTTGAAATAATCTGGGAAGCTTTTTAAAATGATCACTTAAGGTTAATTTAATCAGAATCTCTGGAGTTTGTGACACAGCCTGTAATATATTCTATAGCCTCTATAGAGGGCTCTGCTATGCAGCCATAGTTCAGAATCACTGTTCTAATACTCAGACATTTAAATGAGTCTGGGTGACACATCACAAAAAGCCCGTAAGGTAAAATGACCACTCCTGCCAATCAGAAGAAACAGTAGAATCATGAGTTTTGCCTTTCCAA